GTCACTACCTGGTTCGCCATTTAGTCGCCTCGTACGACACGCTAGCACCACGTCAGTCCTATTCTTCTCAATGCCGAGACTGCACGGCTTCCTTCCTAAATACATGTAGTAAATACATGGATTACCACCCTCCTTCCTCAATACTCCCACCCTCTTTCCTTCCTCAATACTCTCACCCTCTTTCCTTCCTCAATACTCTCACCCTCTTTCCTTCCTCAATAATCTCACCCTCCTTCCTTCCTTCCCCCTTCCTCAATACTCCCACCCTCCTTCCTTCCTCCCACCCTCTTTCCTTTCTCCTTCCTAAATACTCCCACCCTCATACCTTCCTTCCTAAGTACCCCCACCATCTTTCCTTCCACCCTCCTTCCTAAATACCCCCACCGTCCTTCCCCCTTCCCAAATAGCGACTACAGTGGAATTCGGATTCAAAGAAGTCGTCAGGCCTGGCCTTCAATTTCGTTGAATCCGAGCATTCGTTATGGCAAATAAATATGACTGGATCTAATGAATTTAATGTGTCATGTATGTATTCGACTTTCTCAATCAAAATTACAAGTTTGGTTTCAAATTAGAGGCATTTGAGTTCCTTTGATACAGAAGAATTGCTGGAAAATTCCTGGAAATGTCACTTCTTGTTAAGCTCACTCTTTGTTATGAACTGTTTTCACAACATGTATTAATATTAATAAACATGGAGATAGGACAAAGTTTCTCTCTAACGTTTCTCTGACTCCCTCTATCCTACCCGTCTTTTCCTGGGCCTGCTTGCCTCTTCCTCTCTTTCCGTCTGCTTAGTTTAGTTTAGTTTTAGTAAGTTTTTACGGCACTTGCAAGACAACAAGGTCATATAACTGCCGAAGATTTGAGGTGTAACAAGAGAGTAACAAACAAAAAAAGGAGGAGGGGAGATAAAGATGATAGACATTTGATAGGAAAGAAGAAGCAAACCACACCAGAGCACCCGCCAACTACCAACTTTCCATCTGCTCTCTGGTTGTCGTATGTTTTCGCTGCTATTCTGCCTGCTGGCAGTCTTCACAGATGTCCCAGTCATTTAAATCGATATTTATCTCTAGTCTTCCAAACCATATAAATTTAAATCGTTGCTTATATTTAGACGCCTAAACGATACAAATTTAAATCGTTGCTTATATTTAGACGCCTAAACGATACAAATTTAAATCGTTGCTTATATTTAGACGCCTAAACGATACAAATTT